TTGCTTTAAGGTATATTTCAATGTCACGTGCGACATCGAAAAAGTACATTTATTATCAGGGCGTCAAATATTAGCTACAAACACAGTTTTTTATTGCAAATAATATTTCAAAAAATTTGCCGGAAAATAATGAGCGTTTCGCTCTTAGTACATTTTGAAAGTTTGTCGCGTGCGACGTCGTAAGTGTAAATTGTATAAAATTAAATAAAAAAAAAAAACAATAAAAGAATGCTAAAGTCGAGCGAGCTCAACTCTTAAATATTCCGTACCTCCCAACAAAAAGAAAAATATTAAAAAAAAAATTTTTAATTCATTTAAAAAAAAATACATTAATTAATTAATCCAAATTATTCAATACATATATACGAAAGTGGAGACATGTTCATTTACGGTTACAGAATCGTGTCTCTGCGTGTTTATACGCTTGTATGTATGCAGCACAAAGTTGAAACAAAGCAGCAACAACAACAACAGCCGCAGGCAGAGCATGGGCAGCGATTTTATTTATTGCTATAACTTTCGTCAGAATTTACCTATCATGATACATATGTACAGAGTATTTCAAAGAGAGAACCCCCGACTTCAGCCTTTCTAATTGTTATACCCGTGGCAGCGCCCTTTTCGCGTTTTTTTCAAAATCGCGACTCTTTTTATACCCTGTACCCGTAGGGTAAAAAGGGTATATTAGGTTTGTGCAAAGTATGTAACATACAGAAGGAAGCATCTCCGACCCCATAAAGTATATATATTCTTGATCAGCATGACGAGAGAAATCGATCTAGACATGTCCGTCCGTCTGTCCGTCTGGATGAACGCAAGGATCTCAGAAACTATAAATGCTAGAATAACCAAAGTTGGCATCCAGATTCTCCTAGGTCCGTGAAAAGACAAGTTTATTTTTTTTTTTTTTAATTTTCCCTCCTTTCCCCGCTACAGAATTTCAAACGCTACCTACCAAACTTTGCACACATAATTTATATATAATTATCTACTGTTTATTTTATTTTTATTTTATTTAGAATATCAACATTAATTCTGTCCATTGTATAATATAACTTAATATAACAATTTAAACTAAACTTAAAAGATAAGAAAGCCTAACACTAAGCTGTACAATAACGTCTATTAATGCCTCCGACAAATTGGGGGAATTTTATTTGCCAGTTGGCCAGCCATGCCCCGATTCACAGCCATATGTGGTCAGAGACATTATAGGCCTAAAAAACTATACAAAAAGTTAATAGAGGAGGAAAATAAATTCTATTTTATATAATAATAATTATAAAGAATAATTTTGATAGAACAGAAAGAGAGAGTCCTGTCGAAATTAAATGTGAAAGATCATTATAATGACTGCACATGACCCGGAAACGATTGTGCACCTTGCCAATATGAACGGCAAATAATTCCTTGTTGGTCTACAAGGAACTGAAAAATTAAGGCGACCTAAGAGGGCAGAGGAGTCAACCTCACCGAAAACCAACTTGTGGAGAAAAACTACTCCAAGAACCGTCCTACAATTTACTAAGGAAGGAAGGTTTATAAGCATCTGTCTACTAGAGTACGATGGCAAGCAGAGATTGCGATCCGAGCTTAAGCCACGTAGAGCAAAAAGAAGGAATTGCTTCTGAACAGACTCAATACTTTCCTGATGCTTTCTATACTGCGGAGACCAAACTTATGAGCAGTATTCAAGCACAGAGCGTACTAGAGCAGTGTAAAGAAGGTCAGTGGTATAAGGATCATTAAATTCCTTGGACCAACGTTTAATGAATCCAAGTAATACCTTGGCCTTATTGACAATACTAGATATGTGAAGGTTAAAGTTCAATTTGGAATCAAAAAGAACCCCAAGGTCTTCAACAGTCGATGTACGTTGCAATGGCACATTGTCAAACGTATACGTCCCCAAATAAGGCAAGGTTCGGTGAAATGTCATGAACTTACATTTAGAGCAACTGAGGCGCAAGTGGTTAGCTAAACACCAAGATTGCAGGAATAATAAAAGATTCTCTCCAAATAGTTGGAAAGATTGAGGAACCAAGCGACAGATTAAAAATTTTAAGTAATGGCTGTAATAGGGAACTAGAACACTCCATGAGAACACAACTAGGAATGTTGTCTGCGCCAGGACAGTATGAAGATTTTAAAGATTTGATAGCAGAAAGTAGACAGCTATCAGTAATTATGGGAGCGTAAAAAGTGTGGGAAGATGAAATGCTATAAGGATAGGAGGTACTACTAATAGAGACAGAGGAATAAGTTGACTGGAAGAAGTTGGCAACAAGTCAGCAGCTTCAGAATCGTTGCTGGCTTTTTTGTCACCAGGAAAAATTATGAAGGTAGAGAAGCAGTTTTACGTTTAGAATTAACGCACTTATAGAATTGTTTAGGGTTCTGTGCAAATTGCATCTTGCATCGGGCAAGGTAATTATTGTAACATCGTGAATACAGAACAAAATTCGATTTCGCTATAGAGTATTTATAGAAGTTAAGAGATAGGCCCGACTGCTTATACTTTTTAAAGCATCTAGATTTAACATTTTTTAAGTTTGAAAGTCTTGGTGAAAACCAAGGAGGTTTTGATGACGCAGACGATATGACACTATTTGGGATACAGGCATCAAAAAGAGCATTTATAGTGTAGTAGAAAAACTTGACGGCTATGTTGATATCAACCGCACTATACAAAAAGGATCAATTAGTTGCTAAAATAAGTACATATGTTAAGCAAAGAAAAATTTCCTTTGCGAACGCAACGACGTGTTTTGTTAGAACTAAGTGTAGGAATAAAGGTGTGATTTGAAAATGATGGGGAGATTTCTAAAATAGGGTGGTAAGCATCTTCAGGCACTGACAGGGGTAAAGACCTAGAGACTACAGCGTTACTAGGGTCAGTGACATAGACGAAATCAAGCATTTTGCTGAGGTGATTAGGTATAGAATTAATTTGAAACAAAGAAAAGTCCAACAGGCATTCCAAAAAATCACGCTCTGCTGAGGGCGCCAAATAATTGCACTCATTCAAAAATTACCATTCTACAAGTATGTTAGGCAAATTATAATCACCTAGCACAACAAACGCATCTCTGTCACGGAGATGAGTGGAAATTGCTTTAATACATATATGTTGCTTATAACCCTGAATATCGGAAGAGGGAGGTATATACGAGCAAATGATGTAAAGAGCAAAAGACGGAAAAGTTACTTTAACAGCAACAAATTCAACGTCATTTGGCACATCACCATCAATGATTTCCGACCGAAGATAGGATTTGACAGCAATCAGTACCCCTCCGCCTCGACGACGCGGACGATCATGACGAGAGATACAAAAGTCATCTGATAAAATTTCATTATCAGAAATCGTAGATTTAACCACGTTTTTGAAGACGCAATAATATTAGAATCTAAAGAAAAACTGCTGAGAAATAATTCCCGAGCTTGGACAAAAGACCACTAACATTCTGATACAGAATATTAAGCGAAAAAGGTCGCGAGTCTAGTTTTTTTTGAAGCCAAACTTGACGTTAATTCCGAAGAAAGAGTACTAGACTGTAAATCAACAGGCAGTGACGAAACTCGTTTTTTCTGCCTAAACTCTGAGCAATCATATGTGGAGGCCAACATTTTGGATCACAGGAAATTTTATAAAGGAGGCTTTCTTAGAAGCTTTCGAGGCTAACTGAGCTAAGGTGACCTGAGTCCTGCTCACATATAATTGTAAAAGCCGCAGGCGGAACACTTATTTTAAACGAGGCTATTTCACGTGGCTCAGCAAAACTGAACTTCGAAATAGATACACTAGCCGTCGATTTACTGGCAATATAGGCTGCTATAGATTCACAAGTGGTATCGGAAGATAATCTTGATACAACAACTTGTCTTCTGTGAGCTATAACAGTAAGAGCCGGGGGCTGAGGCAGAGCGGCAACTGAGGCACATTCTGCAACTCGTGATGAGACTGCGGGGGATATTGCAGGAAATTTTATAAAGGAGGCTTTCTTAGAAGCTTTCGAGGCTAACTGATCTAAGGTGACCTGAGTCCTGCTCACACAGGCACAGGGGAAATAGTTCGGCAGAGATATGTCGTTTTAAAAAAACATAACTCCGCGCGGAGGTATGTCGCTATGTCAGATATTTGGATACATTTTTAATCCTCCTCCAAAGTTGAAAAATACCCTAAAAATACTTAGATTGGAAACATCGTATTCTAGAGAACTACAAATGCAAGACATATTTTAAATTGAATTATGCTGAAAATTAATACACCCAGCAATACAAATCAAAGCATCAATGATTCGTCACAAAATTTAGCTAATATTATACCTGAAAGATGTAGAGTTAGCATAAAATCGTTGCAACCTAAAAAAAGGGTAAATTTTGATTATATACTTTATATCTCCTAAGTGATTTCTTTGAGAGTACGATTTTTTAGATTTTACTTTTAGACCTCCATTAAAGAAAACTTAAGTCTAAATTTTAGTTTCCTAGCTCTGTCTTTATCTCAGTAAATCTTGTTCCGAAACGCTTAATTGATGAAACAAAATATTGGCGATAATGGTTTATCTCGCTGCAGAATCTGCCAGTAGCTAACACGATTCAGGAAGTGTGAAAATTTCAATGACGACAAATATGTGGGCCAGCCAAAATTTGTGATTACCGATTATGCAGTTTTAACGCATTTTTGTTTTCTTGCTTTGTTCCAAGCAAGTTCACTGATAACCAAAAAATTGTGAAAAAATAATATTCCGTGTCACTTTTCAGTGAGAGGGACATAAGTGCAATAGAAATGGTAAGCACCGAACATTTTCTCTTTTTATTAATTGACCCTCGTAGGTACATACATACTTGTACATTCTTTCATAGAATAAGCTTGCTCGCCATCACCAGCGTGCTTTCTCTCGTCAGTGCCCCCCAAGCTTTTATCGCAGTTTGGCTCTCTCACAATTCCCAACAAAATGTATGCTCAGTGCAGTTCGTGCTGTTGCGACGCGTGTGTGGTGTGGGGCTTTCAAACTTTGGCTCCCAAGAATCAACACATTACGATTACGCCGTACAGAATTCACGCCAACGCGAACTTTCTTTTTGGGTTTTGTTTCGTTTTGAGTTATTGCAATGGAAATTTTTCGAGTTTTCCGCTAATAAAATTAGCTCCAAAAACGTTTACTTAAAGGCGTTCACATTACAAAACGCACACAGACCTTTCGTTCTGCTCTTATGAGCATTATCTATTGTGCATTGTTCTTTCTATTCCTTCTTTGATTGAGTTTTGTAAAAAAAAAGACACTTGTTTAGCATTGGAATTATTTAATTTTCATTCTGGTTTCAAATTCAACAGCGTGGGCAGAGACAATGAATGCGGTAAGTCGAGCCTACTCTCGATTTTCATAAATAAAACAACAACAACATTTTAAATATCTTCCCTATTGATTGTGATTCAATGTTCAACGTTTTGGCAATGGAGCATGCCATTGCGCAAAGGGTTAAAGTCCCCTTTTGGCAGTTGTAGACGCATGCGGCTGGTTTTTCTGACTTCAAAACCGTTCGTTCTTCTTTGCTGATGATAAGTTGTTTTGATAACATCTTCGTTGACGAGTAGAATGATTTTAGTAAAAGTTTCATTTATCTTTTACTATGCTAATATCAATTTTCTAAATCCCTCCCTTATAGTGGATAAGGTGGATAAGCACGGCCATCACTAACTTTTCCCATCCGAAATAGGTTTCTCAAGCTGTGTCTTATCTTGAGCATATTGTCGTTTATGGATTTAGTAATTGCTTTGTTATGAAATCATAAAAGACCAAATAAACAAAGTTCCATTACATATAGACGACCTGAAATCTGAGCCTATAATTGCATATCAAATAAAAAATTACAATCTTTTTATAGCTCAAAGCGAATAATACGGATAGCTTCAGATTTGGAACCGTAGATTATGTAGTGTTCTTAGGAATGATAGTACTATCTACAGGCACAGGAATATATTTTGGCTGCATTAAGTAAGTTTGTGCAATATACTCGTATCGTTATTTGTTATTTGAATATCAAAAAACACATTATAGAAAAGATAAGAAGAAGCATGATGATCAGGAGCAAGGTCCATCCATCTCTGCAGGGCGCAAGCAAGATTTTGGCTCAGAAAAGATGAGTGAATATCTGCTTGGATCACGCAATCTGAAAGTTTTTCCCGTCGCTATGAGCCTAATAGCAAGGTTATTATGTCCAAAATAAAGCCAGTCAATTTGTAAATTGCAACATTTTTCTCGTTTTTCCAGCTATATTTCAGGCGTTACCATTTTGGGGACTACATCAGAGATATACAATTATGGAACACAATATTGGTTTATTGCAATTTCCATCATTCTTCATGGCATTGCTATCTCCTATATTTATCTTCCAGTTTTTTCAAAGTTACAAGTCGGATCTTCTTACGAGGTATGTATGTATTTATATTTGAATGTGTTATGTAATGGAGTGATAGGCTAAATAAAACAATTGCGATAAACATTGCACTTCATGTATTTATACATTTTCCGCACGACATCAAACCGCTGACCACTTTTTAATTTGAAAAAAAAAAACAAACAAATAAATTGATTCTCAGTATGGCAATGTTTTAGACTTTGGCCTCACATTTTTTGTTACATGTCGTTCTTCTAGCAATTATTAATTTCAAAGCGACTTCTACTGTATCCAACATTCAAAGTAGTTTAGGTAAAAGTTTAATAATACAGCAGGTTTATGTTATCATAATTGCAGATTTACTATTTAATTTATCTCGTTTTATTGGCAAATTAAGATTGCTTATTTATTGAAGCAACTCTAATGATAGTTTTTTCTTTCAGTATCTGGAAATGCGATTCCACTCAACAATAAGAAGTATTGCATCTTTCATGTTTATACTTGATGAAGTAAGTATTTCAATAAATTTAATTATTTACATTTGTAAAGTTTGTTTTGTTTTTTTTAAGATTCTTTTCTTGCCGTTTATCGTCTATGTGCCAGCTTTAGCTCTGAACCAAGGTAGGCCAAAGTTATAAAACACTTAAGAGTATATATATACATACGTCGTTCTATTTAACTTGTAGTCTCTGGAATCAACTTGCATATCATATCAGGCGTTATTGTTATAGTATGTGTGTTCTACACATTTGTGGTAAGTTACAAATATAAAACATATATCATTATTGATTTCCTTTGGTATTTAAAAAAAATCAAAAAAAAGAACTAACAGACATAGAATCTGCAGACTTCAATTGACGCTTCTCTTCATTTAGGGCGGTATCAAGGCTGTGGTGCATACGGATGCCTGGCAAGTTTTAGTCATGTTCATATCGGTAATAGCAGTTGCTTCAATAGGCACCTATTATGCAGATGGATTTGGCAGCGTGTTTGATGATGCCGCAAAAGGTGGTCGATTAATTTTTTCAAATACGGATCCTTCGCCCTATGTGCGTCATACTGTTTTCAGTGTACTTATTGGCGGCTTCTCCTACTGGACCTCATTTAATTCTGTCAATCAGACCATGGTTCAACGGTATATGTCACTGCCATCTCTGAGAAAAGCACGCATTTCTCTATATATATTCACAATCGGTGTTGCCGCATTTATATCTGTGTGCTGTTATGTAGGTTTACTAATCTTTGAGATGTACCAAGATTGTGATCCAATGAGTTCGGGAATGACAACGGTAATAGTGGCTTGCTCGTCATGTTGGATTTTATTACCATATTCCTACTCGTCCACAGCACAACGATCAACTGTTGCCTCTTTATGTTGTGCAACGCGTCGGCCATATTTATGGGATGTCAGGCCTGTTTATAGCTGGAATTTTTGGTGCTGCACTCAGTTCCCTCTCAGTTGTCTTAAACTCGACGTCGCTCGTAATTCTTGAGGACGTAGTGCGTGGATGCTTCAAAATGAATCCTAGTGTTCGTGCATCAACCATACTAGTTAAGTCAACCGTTATATTCCTAGGGCTTGTGTCTATGGCCTTGGTGACGTTCTTGGACAAACTCGGCAGCATTTTGGGCGCAGCTACAGCACTAACAGGAATCGCGGCTGGCACGACATTTGGGCTGTTTACACTTGGTATGTTAGTACCGTGGGCAAACAACGTCGGTACTGCAGTTGGTGGAGTCGTGAGTGCTTTAACTGCCAGTTGGATTTCATTCGGCTCACAGTTCGCCATGGCAGCGGGGGAACTCAACTCGCAACGTCTAGATGTGTTTGTAGATGGTTGCACGGGCAATGTAACGTTGCATGAAAACGTTTGGGTGAACGAAGATGATGTGTTCCCCCTTTACCGCTTGTCGTATCATTGGGTCAGTTGATATCTTCGTTGACTAAAAAGAAAAGGAAACTTGAAGAATTACAATTAAATAATAAGTCTATTTTATATTACCTGCATTGCAGATAAATCCAATAGGAGTGACAACGGCAATCGTAGTGGGTGCTTTAGTTTCCCTTGTGACGAAGCCGACCGACTTAAAGACTGTCGATCCGGATTTAATTTCACCAGTGATCCACAGGTGCGTTGTGTCAATTCCCACTCCGCATAGGTCTTATTTTTTGTCTTAATACACAGGTTTCTGCCCAAAGAATGTTTTGAAGGTCGAAATCATCGTGCACAGACGCAGAACAAACTTTTGACCAGCACATAACATCAATGAAACAACTTGTTAAGCACATATGTACAATACATGTAGTAAAATAAGTACTTTTGGTCATGTTTCTCAACTAGTCGTGCTAAATTTGCACGATTGGCGCCCAGTTCCCATACATATGAACATATGAATGCACTTTATGCAAGCGCACATTCCCAGTGCTTTTTGTGTGTAGATATAGTATTTAGTCATTTCATGAAATGTATTCCCTACATAATTTGCTTCAATTACCCTAACTAGACTTAGTGAAATATTGCTACTATAGGTATTAGAATCAAAATTCGGGATTATGTTTACAGGAATTTATGAATCTTATATATAGTAAACTACGTCTACATTTCGATTTGACAATCGATTTTAAACTGTTTAATTTAATATAGACTGCAGACTGAGACGCACGTCTTATATGGAATACTATATATTCAGTGTGACTTGAAAGGCAATGTCTGTGATAAATTCAATAAACCTATCGACTTATGTACATACTTATTATTATTACAATAGTAAAAAGGAAAGCAGTTATAAATACTTTTGTTTACAGTTTGAAGGCATTATGCAAATCGACAAGAGGTTAATTGGACTAGACGAAAAATCTACATTTACTCGCGCTTAAGACGTGACAGCTCGTAATGCCTCTTTATATACTTTTTTAATTGTAAGAATATTAAAACTAGGCATGCCAATGCGGCACTCATATAACTGTTGTAAACAAATTGTTGTGGCAGCATTTTGCACTTGTATACCTCGTAGTCATCAGGAGTAAGCGTGGCCTGGAAATTATAATTCAATAAGCTATAAATAATTGTACATATTTTTCGCATCATACCAGCATGAAGCTAGGATCCACTTTGTTTCGCCAGCTGAACGACGCCACCGTGTACTCATCAATGCCGAGTCGATTAACACTATGGCAGTAATGATGAGAGTGGCCAGCAAAAGCCAGGCGAGGTTTCAAGAGATCGCCCAACAAATCAGTGGCATCCTTGGAAAGCACATGAAAACGCTCACGAAAAGCTTCAATAACTGGTGCATCATGCTCCTTGCACACCTTGTCAGAATCGCGATAAGTGGGAAAATGTTGCATCAATATGGGTTGGCTGTATGGATGACGACGAGTGCGTACACACTCGGCTTTCTGTGGATGCTGCATGCAGTGCAAAGTACTGGAAATATTTCGTAGTTTTTCCTCCGCTTCCGCACAAAATTGGCAACCGTCTCCTTCCATTGACATTGAGTTGATGATCACAAAGTGTATTTGCTTTATTGTGTACAAGTGCACTTTTGAAAAGTTCAGATAGTTCTCGAAACGACCCATAAAGAAGGGATGCATTCTGCAACACATCAACGAATAAGGCTTTTCGAAATATGTTACATGAAATGTACATAATGTTTGCATGAAATGCAGGTGCAATTTTACATACATATGTATGTACATATGTATGTATCTATGTTTGCCCGTATGTTTGTACTTACTTGTAGTGAAACCCAACGTCGTGATTGCCCGCAATACTAATGAGCGGCACTCCAGGGGGCAGTCTAAACATTTGCAAGTAATGCCACACATATTCTTCAAACCTTTTTTCGCTAACCATATCCCCTTCATCAAACAAGTCACCCAAAACAAACACGACATCTGGCTTTAGTAGTGCAGAGGCTGCTTGAAATGCACCCTTCATGTGCCACTCACGATATAGCTTATCAAGCCAGTGACCACGATGTGGTCCAAGCAAATGTGTGTCCGCTAAAATCATTGCACGCAAAGGATCGTCCACGTACTTTTTTTTCCTTCGTATTTCAGGCCATTTGCAGTTTTGCAAAACAACAAAATCCGCTACGTACTCACAAAATATGAGAGCGCAAAGCGCGATAACAAAGCAGGCGTACATCCAACGCATTATATAATAGATAAGTAAAAGTACTTCCAACAAATAAACAAATTATAATGTCAATATGCAAAAATATTTGCAACCACCAAGCAGCTGTTTAAGAGTTCGGTTTACCGATGTTTTCGAACACTAAAACTAAATCTCTTCATTCATTTCAAAGAGAATATATCAGATGTGGGTCAATATGGTAACGCAGACGACGCAGCTATATTAAGACAGTGGAATTGGAATAACAAATTTTTTCTGACTTAGAGTGATACATATGTACGTTTATTAGGTAGCCGCTTTCAACCATTTGAATTGTATTCACTCAAGTCTCAAGTAGCAATTTTTATACCCTTTACCAACTATATTATATATTATTTTTTAGTGTATTCATTTTATAAACCTAAACTAACCCAAATATTTTTAAAATGTTTTTATTTTATTTTTTAAGAGTTGAGCCTGCTCGACCCTCACATTCCTTTCTTGTTAAACTTAACTAAAAGTCATAATATACACGTTCTGGTTACGGCTCGAGGCATATTATTGATATACATTCATATGTACATATGTACCTGAGCAGTGAGAGTCGAAAAGATGCTGTCGTTAATGCTTTACCTTGTGGTCCCTTTGTACCGATCAGCTGGTTTTTGTTATCGATATATGCTTAATAATTTGTAATATTTTTAGTAAAACCTTTCAACACTGTGAAATGCTTGAACTGTTGCAAACTACACGCTCAAGCAGGTTATTGGAGTTAGCCGAAGAAGTTTGACAAAATATATTATTAAGCCGGTACTAGCTGCGATTGAATGGTTGTGCCGTTTATTCGACAATGCCAAATTTCAAAACACTTGCAATATTTTTATTTATGTGTCTTTCGTGCTGCAGAATTAGCTTGAGCACAATATCACCAAATAGTAAAGGAAAGCAAAAGGAAATTAAATTACTAAGCGGTCCGCAAGATAAGGATGTATTCGAGTTGAAATTAATATCAGAAGAACCGCTAGCTACTGACATAATTGTGCATAATGAAGCTTATTACAAGGACACTAAGATACGCCGATTTAATGGAACCGCGCTCGGCTATGTCACACCGGTAAATATGTAGATATTTGGGTGCTGATCTATATTCAAATTACATAATTGTATCCTCGTTGGCTTCATATTCATGATAGTGGAACTCGCACGGCTATGATATTGCGAAAATATTTGCGAAAAAATTTGACATAATCTCTCCAGTTTGGCTTCAAATAGTAAAGAAGAAGAACAACTACACACTGGCGGGTACACATGATGTGGATGCAAGTTGGTTAAGTGATGTGAGACGTAAGGGAAAGGTACAGATGCCTCAACAACGCGCTGTTAAAAGTCTGTATTTGTATACAACTTTCTCAAAAGATCATAAGTGTCAAATTTGTATTTGTCCACAGTTTTCCCACGTGTCATATTTGATTATTTCACTGACAGCGATATAAAGTTGTTGCTGAGCGATGCGCAGGAGCGTTCGAAGTTAAACAACGAGCTCATAAGGGGCTGCCAGGAGTATGGATTTGATGGGGTAGTCCTAGAAGTTTGGTCTCAATTGGCTGGCAGGATTGACGATAATTACCTTTATGCTTTGGTCCTACAAATGGGTGCGTATATATAATTTCCTTCGATCAAATCGGTAGAATGGACAAAGATTCCAACTAACAATAAATTACGTGCATTGAAGCCAAGGATTTGGAAAAACAAAGACTGCAACTTATATTGGTTATACCACCCTATCGCAAGGAAATGCCAAATCTATTTGGCGAAAAGCACATGGAGAGATTGTATAAACACATTTATGCATTCTCGCTCATGACTTATGACTATTCTAATTTCCAAAGACCGGGTGCGAATTCTCCACTATATTGGGCGCGTCGGGCAATTGAATTAATTGCTCCAGATGGTTGTCATGATGTGGAAGAAAAACGTAGAAAGATTTTGATGGGCCTAAATATGTACGGTAATGATTATACACCAGACGGCGGTACTCCAATAACATATTCAAAATATCTTGAGTTGATAAGGCATGTTAAAAAACATCTTACATACGATGAACGTGACGTTGAAAATTTCTTTGAAGTGAAGTGAGCCTCCAATTGATTTCGTATCATCTGTTACAAATATATTAACAATACAATTTTTAGAACCCAAACTGGACGCCACATTGTTTTCTATCCAACGCTACATTCCATTCACGAACGCATTAAACTGGCACAGGAACTAGGTGTAGGTGTGTCCTTATGGGAACTGGGACAGGGATTGAACTACTTTTATGATCTCTTTTAAAGAAAAAATTAACATATTTTTAACATATAGTTTAAACATAAAATATGGTATATAATATTGTGTATGTTAAAAGTTGTACATTGTAAAATTATATTAAACATAATTATTTTAAATTAACTTAGGCTAATTGAAAGCTACGCACACCTAAAATAATTAATAAAACTAATCACTTTAAAAAAATTCAAATGGATTTTTAAAATAAACATGTCGCATTTGAAAAAATGTCATAAGTGTACAATTTTTCTTTATATCTATGTATATATACATATTCAGACAAAAACTCGCATTAAATCACCGCCTCCCGAGTTGCTACTTGGAGTTGAGCTGTTGCTCTTCCATGAATTGCTGTTGGTGCTACCGCTTGCAATTATGTTGCTGTTGCTACCGCAATCGGACAGCGTCCGTAATAGCTGCTTCTTTAGCAATAACTCCTGTTCTGGTTTGTGCTGCGATTTGCTTTGCAACTGCAACGGTAACGGCACATGCAATGAGTGCTGGCGCATTAGTTGCTGGTGCCTTCGCATCACGTCATAGTTCTTCTGGCTATTGGACAGCAATCTGCGCCGCTTCTCATAGAAACTGCGAATTCGCTTGCGGGCCACAGTTTTGTCATCGGTGTGTTGCTGCTGCTCGCTGGGCTCTTCATTATTCACCTTCTCCCTGTCGAGTTTGATTTTGCCCAAAAGCAAATCGTTTAAGCGCTTCGCAGTCATGTTGCTACCCAACCTCTCGCAATCCAGCTTGGACAATAAGGTGCGTCGGTTGCACTTCAGTCGATCCTGCACAATTACACTTGATGATTGGGCATAAATTGTCTTTCCATTTGGCATCGATGTAATCGTGTTCCGCTGCTGAGCTGGCCCGTTGTTGTTACCAGAGTTACCAGATATATTGTTTGTAGTTATTGGACCAATAGAGAATTCATTGTTCGAGTGGCCGGAGAATCCTTGTTTCGTACCAGATGCAGCGGTTTGGGGAAAGCGCGTCAGATTTCCAACCACGCCACTACAGCCGTTGAGGGATAACAGGCTATTATTGGCTTTGCGTGTGGTCAGCAGACTCCGTTTGCGTAGCGCTGTGCCCAAGCCATTGGGCAGCTTGACAAGTCCAAAAGTGTTCATTGCTAGCGGGCGTGGCGTCCCTGCATAAAGCAGGACATTAAAATACGTGTCTTCTTGGAATTTGGCGTTAATCAATTGGCGATGTGGTTGTGGTGTATAATCGGATTCGTAGCTATTATACGCGGATTGTTGGTTTTGTTGTAGTAGTTGAGACTGGCTAAGTTCCAGTTTAACAGTCTTTGTATTGGTTGCTTCTGCTCTAACAGTCTCCAATTTTGTGAAGTCCATATCGTATAATTCATCGTTGATCAGATGAGTGCCAAAACCAAAATTAGCAGGAGCAGCTCCACCACTAACACCACCTGCGACAGCATCACTAGATTCGGTGGCTGCATCCGTTGCTTGAAGCACATTTACATCAACATTGTCATAACCAGCCTGAGTTAAAAATTCGGCTATCACCTGCTGCTGACTTTGCTGATCCAACACGGACACCTGGTTATTGTCAGTAATCTCATAGATAATACTTGGCAGTATCATATGCTCTCCCAATTGCGCTGCTGTTGTTGCATGGTTGGTCGCCACAGCTTCGTCCACATCGTCTGTCAGAGAGGGCACGGTGTAAACGTTGAACTGTTGAGCTGCCCCATTGCCGCCGGCATTTGCATATTGTTCGACATCCATTTGCTGCGTGTGTTTCTGTTCCGATTGCTCTAACATCTGCTGTTGCTGAAAAATTAGCTGCTGCAATTGCATGGCATCTATGGCTGTCAGTTGTGTTTGCTCGTTTCCGCCAGTGTCGGTGTTATTGATATCCTCATACTGGTGGTGCTGCTGCTGGTAAAGTGCCGTTTCAGTTTCAAAATCGCCAGTTTCTGAGGGAATAGTGGCATCGTCATAGCGTATTCGCTTGCTAGCCAGAGGCTGTTGCTGCGATGTGTCCAGCGCGCTTTCATCAAACGGAATATCCGCTTCGGCGGTGTTTAAAATCTCGTTAATAAACTTACTATCGAGCATATCGTCCAGAGTAAGAGATATAGAATTATCGTCGGACGTGTTTTGCACCGGCATGGGCTCATCGGTGACAGCTGACAGATCAACCTGGTGCTGTGTACGCACGTAAGTCGGTGTTGCTTCCGATAAACTTTTAAGTCGGTCACCGTTATCAATAACGCTGTTACCATCAGTTATTGAAGAAACTGCCTTGTCTAGCTCATTTATTTGTTGCTCGTACTGTGGTGGCATTTGCTTGTCCTTTCCAAGCTTCGAAGTGTAAGTCCGACAGTGTGTTTTGTTGTCTGTGACGACATCCAATGATCCTTTGATCTACGATGCGACATAAAATATTGAACGTTTTTTGAGCAATGGTTTTGTGTTTTGGGAATACTTACCTTCTTCTTTGGCTGGGCTGGTAGGGAGTCGTGCTTCGTTGTATCTTTTGCGTCCATCAAAGTAACAGACTGCTTTGCGGGTGAATAGGCAACGTTCACCTCGTTGTTGCTAGCTGCCAAAGAACCGAGTTCCGTTTTTGGGGTTGCTGGCAAAGAACACGAGGAGTTCGATGAAGATGAGTAGACGGTAATAGGCACCTCATCCCTCACGCTTGTAGGAATTGTTTGGGGTGTTACTATGACCTGAGACGACCCGAGGACGTTACACTTCTGACGCTTCTGTGTCACACTGTTACTTCCACCATTGCCACTTTTTTGTCCACTCTGATGCATCGTTGGTTCTAAAGACGATGGGGGTGATGAATGGTGGCGATTTTTTGAAGACTTGGAACGGGAACGACTGTTGCTACTGCCTGAACTACTACCAGCTTTGGAGGAGGAACTGCTACTCTTGCTGCTTTTATGACGCGAAGAAGATGACGAAGATGTAGACGATGCGGAGGCAGAATGTATGTTGTTTGTTGCCACAACTGCTGCAACTGTACCGACACCGTACGATGACTGCTGCGATGCTGAGCTGGATGAGCCATTTGAGCACGTTGACATGGTGCCCGATATAGTCTCTGTTGGAGAGTCCAGCGATTCAACGGCACATCCCGTTTCTCGTCCACAATCCAACCTGTTCTCTAATGGAGTGGCCGAAGTGCCAGTTCTATAAGCGTCAGAAGTCGTTGGCAGGCACACCTTGTTCGACATGGCATCCCAAATATTTGGATGCTGCAGAGCAACGTGATTATTGAAGCCAACTTTGGTGTAACTTCCATTGCAAGCGTTGCAGACGACAATATCACGCTTAGTCTGCTTGGGAACAATGTCATAGTACGGCATGTCTTGCGCATTAAGACGTTGTACCTGTACTACGGCACTTCCCCCAGATCCAGTTCCGACCCCGCTGGTACAGTGCCCAACGTGCTTGGTATGGCTTTCACTACTCCCAACATTGTTGCCCTTGCCACCACGTAGATATGTCTTTTCAGCGGCGCGTAACTGTTTAATGACTTTATCAAGGTCGAAGACTTGCTGCCATTTTTGTCCTTGCATGCCCGATAATCCAATACCAGCTGGTGCATTGTTTAAGTGCGTTACAGCAGCTGCATCACCACCGCTCCCGTGCAGAATTACCTCGGATTTGGACGAATTGGTCATGGCTGGTGCTGGTGGTGGCTTTAAGTGTTTCGATGTACAGTGCTCCGCAAAGATTACAGCTGCGACCACGTCATTTATGGGCATGTTGTGGTTGACGTTGGCAATGAAAGTAATGCAAAGCGTAGCTGCGAAAAATGCAGCTGCCGGTGCGTTATGATGAACCGATAGGATTAGCTTATCGACGGTAGTGGCATTGTCTGCAATAGGGGGAGCAACAGAAAAACCCATAGATCAGCTGTTTTTGACAACCGCCTCATTGCCTTTCTACTAGTACCACACATACATACATACATGATGCGAAACATCAATTCGTATGTAATTAAAACAGCACTACATACCTATGTATATGTATGTATGGTTGTTTCTTCGTACTTGTAGTTAGACAAAAGCCCGAACGGAACTGTCGATAGGCAAATGTAAGCCACCGACCAACTAACTATCCATTAATTTTTAAATAATTAGTATTTGAATAATAACTTGTAAGTGGCTCTGCCAAAATAATATACATATAACTTACATGCTTAACACATATTTTCTGTGCCCGTAGGCGAAGTTTTGCTTGTCATTCCACATATGTTTGTATGTATTGCATGAAGTTATGAATGTATGCGTGTAGGTGATTGCAAAATAATTTTTTACACGTATAGCACCCTCTCGGCCACCGTTGAGCAGGCTATACGCGAAAACCACGTTGCATGCGTAAATGGCCAAACCATCTATTGACCAATCCTCATTTTACCGCTGGTAGGAAAAAATGGTGCAACTACGTCCTATAATTGAAAATTTTTTCTTTTCAGTGGTTAGTAGTCAAAGAATTCCTGAAAGTATTCACTGAGAATCGAATAGAAAAATCCGATAGGTATCGATTACTTTTGACTACATATATATGTTTTTGTACACATACAAATGTATACTATACATACATACATGCATTTTGAAGATTCTCATCCACAAGGCTGTTTTTTGAAAATGCTAACAACAATTTATTAAATCTTTCTTAAAAAAAACATATTTATCCAGTTTCAGATAAATTAATCTTCGTCGATATCGTTGCTTGATAGCGGAATGGGTTCCTTTTCTCGAGCGAACAATTCTTTGAAGGTTTCATACTCGGTCAGTGTAACATGACATATTTTAGTTGCAAATGATTTTTCTGAAGTATCCGTAATTTGATAAAGCCTGTTATTTGTTGTGGGCTCGTCTGGATTATCTTTTGGTGCTCGCGGTTTGAATAAACCCAAACGTACAAGGAACGCGTGCCGGCAGCACAATTCTTCAAACAGCATTGAGAACGCCGCCGACTTTACGATTTCCGGCACCTCGATTCGCATTGTATCTGTTAGGTATATGAATTTTTGTTCTATTTTGTGCTCTGATTGCGCCAATAAATCAGGACTGTTCATCAGAATTTTCCAGACATTTTTGTTTGTGCCCACAAGACTCCTCAAATAAGCCGTCTGTGGTAGCAGGTCACGAGCGTTTCTATAATCCAGAAGTTCTGGGTATTTAGTTAGTAGCAAGTGCAGTAAGCGTTCCCCAAATTGACAGGCACGCCAAATTTCAAGACTCCCAATTATGTCTTCCGGAGATCGTCTCAAAACGGACGGGTTGCCCGTGACAATGCGTAAAAAATTCAATGTTTGGAGTCCATGATTTTGGAACACATGATGGGCACGGTACCAAGTATCCTGAGTGTAAATAGAGAGGGCTGGAGCTAACTTAGTAGCCTCAACAATGTGCGATTGGGTAAGGCTGTTGCGCTGGTCAGCTTTGTCAACAAGACTCTGAAACAAAAATGTATGAAACATATCTCTTTTTTTTTGGATACTGCCTTTAATACCTGCGTTTGTGACAAGAGTCTTTTAAAATTTGATTTCCGAACAAAACTTAGTTTCCCTAACATTTTAATTCATATAACCAATAAAAAAACATTCGATAAGATATTTCGATATATTGTTAAAATTGCGATACCTTATTTATATTTATATGACATCTCTAAGCCTACTTGGATCCAAAGTACTTGGCCTTATTCATTTCGCTCGCGAACTTCGGTGAGTTAAAAACATAAAGAAGCATGTCTGGTCTTATACGTTGGGGCATAGCCGCGGCTGGAAAAATCAGCGAAGATTTTGTTATTGCACTTGGAACACTGCCAGCGGAAGAACATAAAGTTGTAGCTATCGCGGCTCGATCCAAAGATCGTGCAGCAGAGTTTGCAAAGAAACATGAGATCCCCGATTTTTATGGCAGTTATGAGGAATTGGCAAAGAGTACCAACGTTGGTAAGGGTTAAAATTATATACAAGTGGTGATGAAAGCGGTATAAAAATTTGAACCTAATGTATTCACGAACAAGATATCGTTTCTGTCACCTATGTATGTATGTATGTATGTTGATTCGTCTTGGTTATCTTTAATAAATAAAAATACATATTAAACTTGTATATATGTTAATGCGCATATTTATATATTTTTTTTTACAGATGTTGTCTATATTGGCGTACTTAATCCCCAGCACTATGAGGTTTCAATCCAAATGCTAAATAATGGAAAGCATGTGCTCTGTGAAAAGCCACTGGCCATGAATAAGAATCAGGTGGAAGGCATTCTGGCAGCGGCAAAAGCCAACAAGCGCTTCTTTATGGAGGCCGTGTGGTCTCGTTTTTTACCCGCCTATCAGTATCTTCGCCAGCTAATTCAGGACTCCAAGCTCGGCGAAGTGAAGGAAGTGGAAGTTAACTTTGGATTTCCAATGCCAGCTGTAGAGCGCCTACAAAAACGTGACTTAGGGGGCGGCGTTATTTATGATTTGGGTATCTATACCATTCAAGTTTCTCAGTGGGCCTTCCAAAATGATCGAATTGAGAAGATCGAAAGCTCTGGCGAAACAAATTCTGAAGGTGTCGATGACGACGTCCGTGCTACTATTAAATATAGCAGTGGAGGCGTGGCTCGAATGCGCATTTCTTCAAAAGAAGAGCTAAATAACCTTGCCATCATCAAGGGCACGAAAGGTCAGGTTACGGTAAGAATCAAGCATCTACATAAGTGGCTCTTAAAAATATTTATTATTCCACATTTCCACTATGACGAGTACTTTTTGCACCTATCGGCGTCAACCAATCAAATTACATACATACATATCTATAAAGCTGATAAGTCGAACGTTATTTTCTTATAACAATGTTTGCTTATCAAAGTTTTCAAAGTCATCAAAGTACTGTATTCATTTTATTACAGTTGGTAGATTTCTGGACCCCAAACAAACTAATTGACATAGATGGAAAGGAAAAGGTGTGGACACCGCCGAAAGGAAAACTTCCAACCAATTATAAAAATTCCGAGGCCATGCGATATGAAGCTGAGGCTGTTCGACAATCCATACTTGCAGGCGAAGTCGAAAACAGTACTGTTAGTTATGAAGATAGTTTGGTTTTTTCGGAAATTGAGGACACGATCCGGAAGCAAATTGGTGTGACTAATAAATACGATTGAATAGAATTCATCGTACCATAAATACAAACGTATTTACTATATATGTATGTATATGTCTACGATATATGTGCAATAAAAACAAGAATGCACATTTTTGTCAACTTGTATTGAAAAGGTGCTAAATCAATGCATATGTTAAAAATAAAAATAAAAAATTATGCACATTTTAAAAAAGTTGTAAATAATTTAAGCATAGGCTGTTTTTATACCTTGTACCCAAAGGGTATACCAGGTTCGTCTAAGCACATGAACCCTCCCCCTCACAGCTATTTGTGAATTTAGGTTTCCAAGAGCTGCCTGTAACAGGCATGTGAATACTCAGAAAATCGTAACTCTCGACATTCTTGGAATTTCGAACTCTAATTTTGCAAGTACCCCCAGTTAGAGATTATTTATCCGTTCACTATGATAGGCCGATTTAACAAGTTATAGCCATAAATATATTTGCTGCCCAAGCGCTGCCCGCAGCTGTTGTTGATGCTGGTGCTTTGGTTGACTGCACGTATGTTCACACAGACGCAATTGCTTTTTAAATGTGCAATTATACACCCTTTACGTGAGTTCGAATACCGAGGGAGGTAAAATCAATCCAAATTATTTTTTAATTTCTATAATTATTCTAAACATATGAACGCTTCAGTCGAGCAAGCCCGACAGTAGAATACCCTGTACTCTCCACAACAAAAGAAATTTTAAGAAAAAAAATTATTTAAAATAATTTAATTAATTAATTAAACTAAATATAAAATATTCAACACATGCATACATACATAAGTTTTTATGTACAATTTCAATAGAATAAATTTGCATCAGAATCGTGTCTCTGCGTGTTTATATGCGTGTATGTATGCAACACAAAGTTGAACCAAAGCAGCAACAACAACAGATGCGGGCAGAGCATGGGCAGTGATTTTATTTATGGCTATAACTTTCTTCAGAATTGACCAATCATGATGAAACTAAGCATACGGACACATAATCACTAACTGGATGTAATAACCAAATTTTAGTTCAAAATTCCGGAAAAAAACTCAAAATCGTACTTTCTCGGACTTATTAGAATCTGGATACCAAGTTTGGTTATTATATTAGCTCTTATACTTTCTTAAATCCTCGCGTTCATACAGATGGACGAACGGATATGACTATATCGTCTCGATTTGTCATCCTGATCAAGAATATATACATATACTTTGTGGGGTCTGCTACACCTTCTTCTCCCTGTTACATACATTCGCACAAACCTCACTCTTTGGGTACAGGTATAAAAACCCCTTCTTACAGACAAAATTGTACAAATACAGGAAAAATTGGTCAGCTGATTGGCATAATATGATATCCTATGACGAAAGCAAAATCAACTTAATTGGTCCAGATTCGGGAGTCATGGTTAATGCGTGTCTATTCGTGTCTGTGTAAGCATGTATGCAGCACAAAGTTCAACAAAAGCAGCGGCAGCAACAAAACTAGCTTACCCTTTCACCCTTTGGGTACAGGGTATAAATATGCAATACATATGTACATACATACATTAGTGATGTAAATATGCATCGATGTATCGATAGATATTTATAAAAATATCGGTGTTAAGGACATTCCTAAGCAGGGAAATCCCGGTAAATACACAAAAGTAATATAACTGTGATATATCAAAAAAAATTTTTAAGAACTTCTAAGAAACCATGCCAGAGCAAGTTATTATTCTCATTTCAATCGTAAATTCAACGCCTGGCATATCCATAACGAGCTAGCAGGAATTCCACAATATTTGTTCCTGAGTAGGGTTTTGGTTCGAATCACGCCGCAACCATCAAGGCTGAAGACTGATTGAAATTTCAAAGTTATCGTAATAATTTAATATCTGCGAATTTGTTGTGCATTGCACTATGGTTTTTTCCTGTTTTTTTTTGGCAGAAAGTCCAAAAAAAATGTTGTCCAAATATAAAAAAAACTATTTTTATTTTATTATAAATTATTCGAAAATTAATTAATTCCTGCTGATATGACAACACAATTTTCTTGGCGCGCATTCAAAGTTACCTGATTGTGTAAAAAACATATATTTGTGATTTTGACTGCAATTTTTGGTAAACTTTCAGAGCTTGCAGAATTAAGAAAAGAACCAACAAAGTTAAGTTATATAATGAAAAACGTTAATCAAGGTATGTAAAATTATAATCCAAAACTGTTTTTAAGCGATGAAGTGTGTTCGTGTAATAGTGCGCTGTTTCCTTGAATAGTACTTTTGAATGGTAAAGAGTTGCAAAAAGGTTTAAATGTGGAAATACTAACTATTATATGTTTATTATGGAATTACTAAAGAAACTCGTCCCAATTTGCACGTTTTCTGTAAAATTTCGTCTGCTGCAGCAAAACTACTGTTTGGGCATGCAGAAATTGTTGACATTTGTAGCAGCAACAAAGACTCAGAAGACGCATTTAAGCAGAATATATTGCAGAAAATTAACGTGGGCATATTAATGAATACAATACTATGTTAATATCGGAAAAAGTGAAATCCTTCTCCAAATATATTAAAAAACACATGCCAAGTTGTAGTCAAACTTTAAAGCGATTAAAAAAAAAACACTAATTGTTTTGCTTTTAACATGATTGTTGATGTCCATTTTAAGCCGTGATAGAAAACGCTACAGTCGAGCAATCCCGACAGTGAAATACCCTGTACCCAGACAAACTTCAAGCACTGAGTTATAAGATACGCCCATAGCAGAAGCAAAAACAGAAGATGAAATCAAAAAAATAAAATAAACTCATATTAAATTATTTATGTTTTGTGAACTAAAATATATTGCATAGAAGCAATATATAGGCCAGTTTCTGGTTCGATACAGTTAAAAATACTGAAGTTAGTGAAAGTCGGCCATATCGGTTATATGGCAGCTATATGAAACTGAAACTTGGTATGTCGTCTTGAGGTACCAAAATATGCGTACAAACTAAATTTGGGGTAAATATCTTAACATTTCGAGTTTCTGCCAAAAAAAACGGCCAAAAAACCATAGTGCATTGTTAAAACTTACGGGAATAAACAGTTCTTTAGCAATATGGCGATTTTCATTTCCGATGTAAAACATCGATGTTCATTTAAGATTTACATCACAAACATACATACAAAGTATAGTTTCAACAGCAGACATTTATTTCAGCGTGTCTATGCGTGTATGTATGCAGAACAGGAATAAGTTGAAACAGCAACAACAGCAGCGCTCGAGCAGAGAGAACCCATATATGCCTATAACTTGAGAATTTCGGGAGCAATTGAAAACCATTGGTTACGGGGGAGAGGGTGGAGGAAGGGAAATTCCAAAATGCACATTTTCTGCGAATACACACGTTTGAAAAGTGTTTATACTCTGTACATTAAATTGTTTCAAGATAGGTTTATTATGAAGAAAGTTATAGCAATAAATCTACTGCCTGCCGAAGCTCTGCCTGTATTTTCCTATCGGGCTTGCTCGACTGTAGCGGTTTCTCTTGTTTAAATTAATTAAATCAAATTAATAAAATATTATATATATACAATTTTTTGTAATTATTTTTTTTTTCTTTTTGGTGGGAGGTACAGGGTTTTTAAGAGGTGAGCTCGCTGGACTTTAGCATTCTTTTCTTGTTTTTTTTTTAATTTTCGTAATTTTTTTTTAGGCTATTGCACTTGCTCGACTTTAGCATTCTCTCTTGTTATTATATCCATTTTAGTGATATTTTAAGATGGGAGAAGTTTATACACGTACATGTCATCAAAAAGAACAAATCAAACAAGAGCAAGCCCGACAGTAAAATAGCCTGTACTCTCCACAAAAAAGAAAAATTAAACAAGAGAGAACGCTACAGTCGAGCAAGTCCGACAGTGTAATACCCTGTACCCAGGTAAACTTCCTGAGTTATATGCGCCCATAGCAGCAGCAAAAAGAGGAAGAAGAAGAGCGAACTTGTTGTTGCAGTTTGCGGGGGTTGTACTAGCGAGAATTTGTTTTGCTAATAATTCTTAGAATTGCCCGAATAGAATAAAATTTTGAACAACAGTATTAAGTATTAAGTATAAAACTTGTATAATTATACATATATAAATTATGTGTGCAAAGTTTGGTTTAGGTAGCATTTGAAATGTGGACGCTATTGACGAAATTCTGTTGCGGGTGAAGGGAGGGAAAATTAAAAAAAAATAAAATAAACTCGTCCTTTCTCGGACCTAGGAGAATCTGGATGCCAACTGGTTATTGTTGGTTATTCTAGCTTTTATAGTTTCTGAGATCCTTGCGTTCATCCAGACGGACGGACATGTCTAGATCGATTTCTCTCGTCATGCTGATTCAGAATATATGTATATACTTTATGGGGTCGGAGATGCTTCCTTCTGCATGTTACATACTTTGCACAAACCTAATATACCCTTTTTACCCTACGGGTACAGGGTATAAAAAAATTAAATTATTAAAAAAAATGAATTAATTAATTGATTAAATTAAATTAGAATACATGTTTATGTTCAGTTTTAACAGCATACATTTACATTCCGTACCTATGCGTGTATGTATGCAGCTCAAAGTTGACCGAAAGAATTATGGAATTTATAAACAAAAACACGAATTGCGGGGGAGTGGGGGGTGTATCAGAATAAAAAATAAACTTGACCTGCCTAGGGCTTAGGGGAACCTGTATGCCAAGTTTGGTTATTTTAGCTCTTGTACTTGTATTTTTGATCGATTTTACCTCTTTTGGTATTCGTACTCACGTAAAGGGTGTATAATTGCACATATACAAAGCAATTGCGTCTATGTGAGTTTATGTATGTTTATGCTCGTATATTCGTGTCTGTGTAAGCATGTTTGCAGTCAACCAAGGCACCAGCATCAACAGCCTCGGGCAGCGTTTTGACAGCAAATATATTTATGGCTATAACTTCTTGTTAAATCGGTCTATCATGGCATACCGACACATAATTACTAACTGGGGGTATTTGCAAAATTTTAGTTCGAAATTCCAAGAATTACGGGAGTTACGAGTTGCGTGGGAGAAGGGGGGAGGGACGTATTGACATAAGGCATGTGGGACTAAAATTTGGTGTCCGTAGGTCTTATAGTCTCCGAGATATAGGCGATTATACGAAATGAAAATCGGGAAAATCGCCATAGGGGGGAAGTGGGGGGAATCAAAAAATAAAACAAATTTGCACAGCGTACACACATAACGCATCTTTGTGCAAAGTTTGGTGTCTCTACCTCTTATAGTCTCTCAGATACAGGTGTTCATACGGACAGACAGACAGGGCTAGATCGACTCGTCTCGTCATGCTGATCAAGAATATATATACTTTGTGTGGTCTGCCACGCCTCCTTCTGCCTGTTACATTTTCATCTCCCGCAAACCTAATACAAGTATACTCTTGTACATTTTATGTACAGAGTATAATTAAAGAAATTAAACAATTTTGATGTTGTAGGAGTGGGTATTGGTATTTATTGCTTCTATTCTTGAGAATTAGAAAATGTGACCATAAGCCATGTGCACAGAAATATATATTTATATGTATATTTTTATTTCGTTTATAAAAAGAGTACAAAATTTATCTTTAAAAGTTATCTAAAGTAATGTAAATTGTATATTTTAATATGGTCAATCCGTATATATATATATATATATATATATATATATATATATATATATATATATATATATATATATATATAAATATATATATATATATATATATGTATGTATATGTACTGCACTTTTTTTTATCGCAATCTTCCATCTTTCAAATCTAATTCTTTTCTTTTTAATTATTTTTGATGTGGCGAGATTCTTTGGATTAAGCTTTTATAAAATTACCTCAGCCTGGAATTTCGTAACACTTAACCTTAAATCTAAAAATTTCTTACTTAAAGTAATCCGAAACGCTAGACATGTAGAGGGCGAGATGGGAATGAATTTATAATAAAGTTGTTGTTCTGTATGGTGTTTGCTATAAAGTTAAATATGAATGGTTTGATAAGATGTTTAGTATTACCATTTTAACGGCGTACTTTTATTGTTGCTGGCGTTGGATCTATAAATGGAAGAAATGTACTATAAATCCAAAATTAAACTGACTTGCGGAAGATCTTACTTTACAATTCCTTGTGCTTGAATTGGCGTCAATGTTATGAGGGGTGTAAGACGCTCCACGAATCGCTCGTTATTTCGTTCCAGTTCGCGTTGATAGTCTTTCTGATCGGGTAATATAAGATTTCGATTTTTCTTTAATGCATCGAGGACTCGCTTCGAAAATTCGCGAAAGCATAAACGTAATTTATTTTGATGCTTTGTCGGAATAGTAGTGCCGTCGGCAAGTTTGGAGAGAAACACCGTCGCCATTTCCATAGGGCCTTGATTAACAGTAGTACCAATGCAGCCTTGGAGAACCATTTGTAATATTTTTGGGTCAGCTGGTTCTTGGTTGGTAGCAGCTGCAAGTTCTAAAGTTTTCTTTTGGATATCCTCTATAGCTACTTCAATCGGTTCCAAAACAATTTGCTGTCGGCTAATCACTTGAATGCGAGTTTTCACATAAGGAAAATGATTCGATGTGACCAAAATTGTTTTCCGTTTGCATTGTTCATTTAAATCACCATGGGCCTTGCCAGTTTTAGTGAACGGCGTGGCAAAAATAAATCGCTCTGTGTAATAGTATAGTTGTAATATTATAAAGGCAGGAGACAACTTTCCATTAGAACTTACTTATATTAAAATTTCGTTCAAAAAAGGTCTCCCGGCGGCGCATTTCGTACGTCTCAAAATAGGGCTCCACATAGGTTATTTGTATGTAAGCTTTATTCGGGTCTAAGGATTGTAGGTCCACAGAATTAGAGTCTTTTATTATGTGCACAGAGTCCGGACCAAAGCGTTCTGCATAAAAATTCTACAGAAGAATGATTAAAATAAATGTATAACAATAGTTATCATTAAAATTTACTTGAAGACGACTGAAGATCTCTGGAAGTTTTGTCAAAGTCGGCTCTTTATAAATAAACTCTTGCTGGTCCAAATCTCCGAACTTTGAGCCATAAAACCCAACACGAAAGTAAGTGCCAAATACACGTTTACCCTGTAGCTGTGAAACACGATTGAAGGCCTCCTGTAGTTTTCCATGCACTTTTGCCAGCTTCTGAAAATCACGATTTGCCTCGCAAATCGGTATTAATATCTTGTAAACTTCGTTCATGGCTTCGTAATGGCCGGCTATTTGCAGGGAGTTCGACGCTTCTTCTAGTAAAGCCTTCAGCCTAAGTACATACGAAAATCAAAACATAAAGCTATGTATTATAAAACAAAAATCATACCCTGTCTCCGAAAAGTGGTTCCCAAGACAAATGCCATCCGGTCCCGGACTGAGCACATCATCTGACACTGCCGACTCCATTAGTGCATTTGGTGTAATCCGCTGGAAGCTGACTGCACCATCAGGCAAATGTGGTTGGGATTCAAGCATGCTTAGGTATTCGGATACTAAAGCAGCAGCATGCACATAGGACATGGCGGCTTCTGTATGATTCCCGCGTTCACGATGCTTCTTGGCCATATTTTCTAGCCAGGTGAGCCGCAGATCTGGATTGTTTTGATAACCTTTTGCAATGCGATGCATGAGGTCGAGCAACATTTCGGGATCCTGCTGATACTCCTTCATCTTAACTGTATCGGAAAGGATCATATGAAGGTTAAACAGCAAATCCTGAACTTGCTCAGGAAAAGAAGTTTCCTGCAGATCGTTATCACATTCAGCATAGACCAGTACAGTTTTCAATGCCCGCCGCAGGGATTGTTCACTGAATGATGAGCTGGTACCAAAGCTGGTACCAACTAACGAACTCAACGACATTGTCACCTGCATTTTAACGCGAGCAAAGTTGTTGCCAATTTCAAAGTTTTGTCTCATTAGCAGATAAAGTGATGCAGCTGCTTGTGAACGAATGCCCGGCAGCTGTGAGCCGCAGTGCTTTAACAGCAGGAGGCACAAGTCCGCACAGATATCGGTCTCCTCATCAAACAGAAGATTGGGAAATTTCAAAATCAAATTTCGCTGTGTAGCAAACAAATTTCGAAGTGCCAGCGTCGATTGATTGCGAGAAAGTGCATGCAATAGAACTTTTAGTGTTGTGCCAAGGAGATTATGATGAAGCTCAGAGTTGGTTGCCACATGCACAATGATATCCAATGTGTCAAGTAAGACCAGGACAATTTCTGTGGCCAGAGAACCTTCAATATAGTGCCCCAACTCAATTTCCGTATCGCCTTTGTTAGCAATATCAATGTATTGGGACCGGTATGGCATTTGATCCTTTCGCCACCGGAATTTGTCTGTCGAAATGCGATCCTTGCGACGAAGTAGCTGATGGGTTGCTGAGTTAGTGCCTCTAATACACTCCTCCAACTTTTCCTTGACATCTGTAGGTGCAGACTTACGAAAACTTTGCGTATTTGTACGCTTTAATGTAGAAACAGGCAGTCGTTTCTGGCCCTTGTACTCAAACGTTGGAAGGCATGCATTGAGCACTTGTAGCATTTGGTGGACTCGATGAGGGCTCAAGCCCAGCAGCCAACGGTATAGAACGGTGGGTTCCAGGTTCTTAAGGACCCAAAGATAGCACACCAACAAATGACGTGTGTTCTCTATGCTAAGCGGCGCCTTGTTCTTTACTTGCTCGGTCATGTAAGCGTAAGTGCGGCTTCCTGATATTGCATAAGCAACTTCGGGACTAATTGTAGTAGTCGCAATGGTTTGATGGGGCCCCTGATAGTCCTCGAGAAACCCGATCTGTTGTAAACGATCGTGCGAGTCTGCAACATACTGATGTAGTTGCGGAATTGTGTCCATCACTATTGAAAGCAGAGGAATATAGAGAGTGGCGACGCGGGCACGAGCCTCCGTATCGTTGTAACGTGTGTCTAAGTCATGCGATGTCATTAAATTACGAATACAGCGTATAGCTTTGCCATGCAGCTGAGGATTTGGCACTTCCAACACGGTAGCTAAATCACTCAGAACTAGGCCAACTAAAAAGTGTTGCTGCCTGAACTCTGTGCTGAGCTCCGCATGCAATGCACGTTCAATAGATCCCTGTAAATAGACCATAGGATAAAAAATGTTATCGCGTGCTTGACTATACCCTCTACGCGACACCCTTCTTTTAAAGTCGCTAATCGTTAAGTATACGGTTTTTTTGTATTCTTTCTGAGAGTATACAAACTAAGTTTTTTCATACAAACGTTGGAGCCCGTTTTCCCCCTTCGAATTAAAAAAAAAAATTCGTTCTTAGTGCTCACTTACACTATGTAAGGAAACTTGTGTCCTAATTTCAGCTTCTTAGCTCTTGCCGTTTAGGTTGTGAGTTGATCGCCAATCAGTCAGTCAGGACAAACTGTTTTATATACAGTGAAAACTCTCTTGGCCGGACACTCTCGGTCGGCAAATTTTTATCTGCCCAAGGGGAGTGTCAGCTCAAGGGGATACTTAAATACTTTATACACCGATCGAATGTTTTTAGAAAAAGTGTCCGGATAAAAGAGGTGTCCATCAACGGAGTTTTCACTGTATATAGAAATTAACATAAAGCATAATAGAATGTACGTATAGAGCGTAAATACCCTGTACCTATTTATAAAATATGATGAAAACATGTTAATTATACCCTCAAAGTATGCATGTATATATATTTTTCACCAGTTTGACAAAACGAGTCGATATAGCTATGTCCGTCCGCTCGTATGTATGAACACAAGGATCTTTCTTAAACCCTAGGCAGATAAAGTTTGTGTGTTTTTTTTCCTCCCCAACCCTTTTACTGTTTGGGAGCAGGGTATAAAAATGTATATTCCTGAGAGTGACTTTTACCCAGGTAGGTTATATAAGCAAAATTCCGAAAATGATTCACTAATTGGGTTCAGGATATACAAAATTAGTTTAGTACTTACATAGGATGCCTGACTGTTGCTTGAAGTAGTACTGGGTGTGGGACTGCATGGCGCCGAAATGGTCATGTAAGGTGTGCCGAAGGCCAAGTTCAAGGCCACGAAATGTTCGTGGCTGCACACTATTCGCAGAAAATCTAACTTATAGTTCATCAAGTCGGGTACGGAAGCATTCTTCGAGATAAGAACTTTCTTGTATGTATTGATTAAGCCAAATACAAAGCCACGATCCATAATACTAAATGCATCGAAGATGAAAAATGCTAAACTGGCATTTAACGATTGTGCTAATTTTGGATCGCTGCTATGATAGCCGACAACTTTAGTCGTAACTAAATGTACAAGCGTGGATATGTCATCAGTGAATTGGTGTGGGAAACGCAGCTTTCGCGGCGCATTTAAAGTATACGAGCTATCTAAATGCTCAATCATCGATTTGACGATGAGTTCAAATAAAAACCAGGAGTTGCTCATGGCCAGCTCTGTGGCCCTACCGCTAGCCACGACCCAATGTAGGGCCAGTTCCTCGTGCAGCAAGCGAACCTGTCCATCACGAGACGAATACAAAGATGACACATCTAAAGCCGGTTCTAGGTAGTAAAGATAAAAATATTAAACGTATGACGGTGATGTTAGTACTGATGTGTTACCCAGGCGATCCTTATACTCATTTGACTGCAGCCCATCGCGATGTTTGGCATTCAATGGGTGGGGTATCTTGCACTGGAACTGAACATAGGTCGAAAACAGACTTTGACGTCCGTATTGATCGCCCACAATATCATCGCTTAGTATGGATAGATTAGCTGAAACCATGCAAAGCACCTCGAATACCGTAGAGCCCAACGACAATGTGTTACTTCCTATTTTATAGGTCGTAACCAGTAATTCTATAAGTTTATCCAAAACCAAGTGTAGATGTTTAATCAATGGATCACGATCTGCATGTTCGATATCCAGGAGGCATTTTTTAAGCTCGGCCTCAATATTGCTTTCCCCAATATGTGAGGGAATGTTGCGTGTATCCAAATATTCGCAATCCAAAAAGAAGCGGTCTAGCTGGGGATCCAGTGTATGTACCGCTGTCACAGCATCCTTAAAATAATAAATTAATAAATTAAATACCTCAATTAAAGGCTACACATTAAGAACACTTACCATTCTTATGGTGAATACGGCGCGGTGATTATCGAGCCATTTAATACCTGGTAAATGGACATTCGGCGAAATAAAGGAATAATTCTCTGGAGGCGTCTCCACTATAACTGGTAAATTGAATTCGCCATTGAGTTTTCCATTCAGGGGTAGCCAGGTGTAGCCCACCGGCGTTTCAACAGATGCCTGCAGTTCGTGTGGCTTCTTTTGGCACGATACGTGGTAAATTGTAAAAAGTAGATGATGATTTTTAATACTCGGTGGTAACGCTATCTTAATCTCGTCATAGAATGATGGACACTTGTTGTGATAGTTAACAGCGGTAAATGCATCCGGAGAATACTCTGGACATGATGATTTTCCAAAGATGGCATTAACGGCATCGCTAGGGTTCTCACCGGCCATCAGTTGAACGCGGACAGCAATGTTGCGCGCAGAGCCGGCCCGAGAAGAAAAGTTTAGTTCTTTGGGCGAAACGAAGAGCAAATTTCGATAGCTATAATACGGATTGTATATGCTTTGCGATGGAAATTCTAAAATCTCTTTGACAAACGGAGTTTTCTGATCACTTTGTGGTTCAATTTTTGCCAACTCCGGCGTTAGTGCGTTCTTTACATCATCCAGACACGGTGATATCTCTAGCTTAATCGAGCCTGGTATACATTTGTATTTTTTCATCACTGTGGTCGGACGTTTGAGCTCTGGCAAAAACTTAAATAGGTCCTCGTCTTTCATCTTATCCGCTTCCTGCTTAAAAAAACTGGAAACTGTTATTGTAATCGGACGAAATCCTTCGATGATATTCGCAAAATCATCTGGCGACCATGAACGCCGTTTCTCTTTGCGCTCTAAGGATCCGCGCCGCGTTAAAGTACCACTCATATCGTTGGCTTTGCGTCGCAATTGGTCAAAACTGCTAGTCGAGGACTTACGATCCAAACTATTAGAGCTGGCGGCTGAACCTAAAGTTCCACTGCCACTGCTTGCTGAGTCACGATCGCCGGCACTGGTATCTTTAACTTCTGCGTTTTCACCATTAAAGACATTCGACAAATAAATTCCAGTCCAGGCGAATGGCATACGGTATTTTCCCAAGCGTTCACAATAGTCAACCGCATTTGACTTTGCCTTTTCACGATATTTATCCTTGTCTTCCTTAAGATACGGTTCAACGGAGTTGTTGATATCGCCTTGTAATACTTTTTCAAGCCGAATAACTAGATACAACTCGTTACTAGGATATGATATCTCAAAGATAGCTGAGCGACTTTCCGTACTAGCATCAGAACACTGGACGTGACTTGAAAGCATCAGTTTTAGACTGTCAGTGTTCATATCGAAATAGAAGTTCTCTGATATTTTTTTTGGTTCTTTGGATAGATCATAAATGGCCATCGATCCAAATATGGGTTCTACCTCAAGCTCTAATTTTAGCTGCAAACATTTTACGAGTATGCGATGACCCATGTGTTCTATAGGGAGCTCAGCGGGCAGTCGACGCTCAATAATTTCTTCAGGGTCGGCCTCTGGATAAAGCGAAAATAATGCCTCCTGTCTATCCTCCTGGCGACGAGTCTCATTAGTTTGATCAATTTGTTCCGGTGGCACATTGTCTAGAAGGTCCGGTATAAGCGGATCATTGACGGAGCGTCGCAAATCAAAGCTGGCCCAAGAGCCTCGGGGCGTCAAAGTATCCGTACAAGAACTCATTGATGCGAGACTAGCTATGGATTGTCTTGAGCTGGGTGTACAGCTATCGCTTTTATCTATTGTCGTTTCGTCAAAGGAAGCAAAGTCCTTGTCAATTTCAAACTCCTGTTGGTAAGCAGAGGGGCTTATTGTGCCGCGATCAATACGTTCGCGGACACAACATGAGCTGGAGTAATGCCGCTGGGAATATTCGACAACCTTCCATGGGCGTGTATAGCAGTGGACGCACTCTTGCACATAATGTGGGAGGTCCGAGCTGTCAAAACAAATGATTGAATTTATTCGTCAACCACTAATGGATCATTGAAATGAAGCTTACATGTTTTCCTTGGGTACAACATGTTCGGTAGTGCGAATTTTTCGGGGGATGATCCTAACCGTTACGTCGCCTTGTGGGAAATCCAGAATATGCTTCAAGGGGTCGCGACTTAAAATACTCATATGCTGAGTAAGAAACTCTTCATAGTCTAGTGGTTCCACAGGCTCTGTTAAAGAGAGCTTTTTACATATATACATACAGTATAAATGCACAAAGAAAAAAATGTATTTTATTACAATCATAGATTAATAAAAATATCAAATAACTTAGCCGGTCAATGCTTTTGGGTGGGGAAAAAACTCACCGTGGACGAATACATCGGATCGGATGTCTTTGTTTGCATATGACAATTGACTACATTCTTTCGCACATCTGCCGCATGTTGCCTGGGGTTTTAATAGAGTTAAAATATTTACATTTTCATATACATATGTACATCATATGGACAATCACACATAATGTGTATGCACTAAACATTTACATACATACATACATATGCGTATGGGCGTGTGGTGTCTAGCTTTTAATGTATGTCACAACTGGTTACTTACTTGGATAGCTTCTGGGCAAACGAACGTTGCGCGTTAGACATTTTGGTTGGTTTTGTGCAGATATTACTGCTATCCAAAATGTTGAAAGTTTTAATTAATATTTTGTACACATTTGCCGCTTTCCACTGCAAGTTCGATACTTTCTTACTTTCGATTCCAGTGTTTCTTTTAACTGAGTATAATAATAATGAAGTGTTGTAAAACGATTTTCTTTATTTTTATGTATTCACCATAAAGTATGCAACAGCTTAAAACGTTTCATTTTGCCGTTAATTTAAATAATTTGATTTAAATATTTTTCCGCATACAATATGCACTATTACGTGTGTTTAAAATATATATCGTTATAAAGAGTGTTTTCCCAAATGTTCAGCGGAGCTTCGTTGCACAATTTTCACAACATTTAAGGTTTGTGGCAGTGATTAGTGGTTTAGGTATATGTTTCTGGTCAGAGATAATAAAAACTTATTAATATTGAAATGAGAAAACTGATCAGTTTATTAACATTTGTTATTAAATCCAAATATAATATATGTATTTGAACATTTTGGATGAAATAAGAAGATTTGAGCAGAATCAGCGCTCAGCCCACAAAGTTTCATCAAATAATTAAGAGACCTACACGTACATACATGGCCAAAAGTTAAAAAGTCATTTTAAGCAAAAAACAAAAAAACCTATGTCGTGCAAAACATCCGGCCAGCAGCCAGCCACTCAAAAAACGGCCACATTCTTATACACCCGCCCATTAATCTAATGAGCCGCAAACAGCCACAAGTCTTTTCGTTTCACTTTTGGAAGCGTACGCATCCGTCGACATATACGTGTACGTGTATGTATATATGTAGCTACGCACATACATACATGTATGTATTTTTATAGAGAGGCGCAAATTAAATGAACTCATCAAAACTGTGAGCAACTACAGCTTGTTTTTTCTTTTCAATTTGCATAGGCTTCCGGCCAAAGCGACATGTGGCCCACAAGTTTTCACTTTCACCCACAGGCAGCAGCTGCTACGGCGTGGAGACCAAATGCCCTGGGATTTTTATAGATCTAGAACACGTTGCACGCATTCCAGTACGCCCGAGTATGCGCACGGTTTTACGAGCTGCAGCATGTCGCGGCGCACAGCCGCTGCATATTTGTCACTTCGCCGACAGTTGCTTCTTTATACATACAAGTATGTGGGCGTTGAAAAAGTTATGTGCCCACTCGGCCTGTGTACACAAATGCCTGGGGAAAGCCAACTGCCGCATTGCTGTCAGCTAGTAGGCTGGCTAATCAGGCAATTCAGTGACCGGGCAGGGTTCCACTATCCACAGAATGCTAATCCTAAGAAAAAGGAACGTTAAATATTTAATTTTTAACTCGCAGCCATCAACACAGGGTTCTAAATGAAATTTACGCTGACATTTCTGACCATCCGAATTGAGCTGTCACCGCAAAGTTCCCAAAGTGTGAAAACTCAACAGGCACATTCATAAAAAAGAAATACTACCAAAAAATTGTTGGTCACTTTTCTTGCTTTTACGAGAATTAAATTGCCGCGTGCTTTAATTTTTTGAATTTCCACATGTGTGCCGCGCGGCTAACGGGGCAGAGATAGAAACGAGCGACAACTCAAATGCCTTCGTAAACAATCATAATTATTCATTAATTGTGCCTTAATCCAATTTTATGTGGTTCGCGAGGTCTGGAAGAGCCTTGGCCACAACTGTCTCCATTGTCGTGCTGATGTGCCCGCCGACATATTATGACAAACTGTAGGCAATAATTTCACACATGCATCCAAAAAAAAATTGGAAAAGCCTCAATCAGGTGCACCGACTTTAAAATACTCTGCATGTGTAGAAAAAATATATAAATTTAAAATTGAATCAAAAAACGTTTTGATCAATACCTCCATCGGGATTCGAACCCACGCACCCCATTGTCGCTATTTGTGTCCACGCGGGCCTATGTGCCTGTATGTGTGCAGTACAGAGTTGAGCCAAAGCAACTGGCAGAGCTTGGGCAGACATTAGTTTATGGCTATAACTTCCTTAAAATTTAATCGATGACCATTAAACTCGACATACTTGTAAGAATAAACAGGATGAGTAATAAATTCCAAGAATTACACCAAGGTTGGAAAATCAGTAATAGTGGGGGGAAGGAGGAAAGTTTTTAAATAAACTTGTACTGCGTACACATACATATAGCTTTAATTGTCCCTGAAATCGAGGTGATCATACGGACAGACGGACAGGTAGAAGAAGAGCTTCTTACATTTGTATACCCTGTACCCAAAGGGTGAAAGGACATACTAGTTTTGTGCGAGTGTACACACAGAAGGAGGCGTGGCAGACCCCACAAAGTATATATGTATGTTGTAATTTATACTTGAATTATACACCCAAATAATAACACTCAAGATATATGCTTTATGTTTTATATTCAACTTTATATTTAATTCCGCAACACCAGCAACACAACCTCACTCGAACAGAGTGAACAAGAGAAGAGAAAGATGCCAACCGCAGTGTGGCCATAAAATATGTTTTCATTAATACTAAAGGAATCAAACAAACCGATATATATACTACAATGGTATTTTTGTATAAGGAATAGGGGTATTCCAACACGCCCCCTCAAAAATAACATTAATAAATCATAAATTTAACATATAGCAATCTTTTGTAATTCTCATATACTTATTCTAGTGTGTGCGGTGTGCATTCTGGGAATAATTATGTGATCCAGCATTCGCTGCAAGGATACGGGGAAAACCCAGAAAAACCCGATCAGATCACTCTTACATATATGTTAACATACAATTAAATTTTTATAACTTCATGTTTTTAAGAACTAATAAAAAAAACATTTCAATTCAAATGTGACAACAAAAAAAACTTCAGCATCAGCAATCAACAGATCCGTCATCTTGCAGTAATCCCAATTCATTACGTAATTCCAAAAATTTTGCAGTAGGTAGTGGCTTTGTAAAGATGTCAGCAAGTTGTTTCTCTGTGCAAATATACTCAAGATAAATTGTATTACTTTCAACTTGCTCTCTGACAAAATGATATTTTATATCAATATGTTTAGCTCGTTTATGACATGAGGGGTTATTTGCTATACTAATACAGCCTTGGTTATCTTCGTAAATTTTAATTGTATTTTCGAGATTGATATGAACACTTTTAAGAAGAGATTTTAGCCACAACGCTTCTCTCACAGCTTCAAATAATGCCATGTACTCAGCTTCAGTTGATGAAGCTGCTACTGAGTTCTTCCTCTTTGTATTCCAACAAATTAGATTTAAATGAAACATTTTGAATAAATACCCTGTGGTACTCTTTCTATCAATTTCATTACCTCCCCAATCAGAATCTACATAGCCAATTAATGTATTTTTAAATGCTGCATTTCTTTTAAAAATCAGTTTTATATCAATAGTGCCCTTTAAATACCTAAGGACCCTTTTTAAGCACTGCCATAACTCGGGATTATTTTTACTACTATATCTGCTCAAGATATTTACTGCAGTAGTTAAGTCTGGACGTGTACATAGCATTATGTACATTAAACATCCTATGAGGTTACGACATGGAGCATTGCAGTTTTCATCTGAATTAAGAGACTCATAATTTATTTTGCTTGGTAAGGGAGTACTTACTGCATTGCAATTATACATGTTAAATTTATTTAAGATTCTTTTCACATATGCAGCTTGGCTCAAATAAATTTTATCTTCATACATTTCTATTCTAATACCAATAAAATGTCTTATTTCTTTTAGGTCGGTCATCCTAAACTTTTCCATTAAATACTTTTTGAAATTATTCATTGTTATCATATTCCCCGTAGCTATTACCACATCATCAACATATAACAGCACATAAATATTTTCCTTGATATCACCTTTATCTAGAATATAAATACAACGGTCTACTGAAGAGTTCACAAATTCACAGTCTTTCAATGCTTGCTCAAACACTTCAAACCAGCATCTTGCGGCTTGTTTGAGTCCGTAAATTGCCTTATTCAATTTACATACATTATCACCATTGCATGGTGTACCTTGAGGAAGTCTCATATATATTTCCTCTTTTAACGTGCCATTTAGGAAAGCTGTTTTTACATCCATTTGATGAACCTTCAAGTTATATTGAATTGCTAACGATAATATAAATCGAAAACTTGAAATTCTAGCTACAGGAGCAAAAGTCTCTTCAAAATCGACTTGGTATTTTTGAGTAAATCCTCGTGCAACTAATCTAGCTTTATATCTAATTGGATTTCCTAGTTCGTTATATTTAACGGAAAATACCCATTTGCTATCTACAATGTTTTTATGTTTAGGCCTTTCTGTGATTGTCCAGGTATTATTTAATTTATGAGCACTTAGTTCTGTTTTTATGGCTTCCTCCCAAAACAATTTATCCTTCCTATACTGAATTTCATCAAATGTGTTTGGAACATCGTTGAAGATGGTGTGAGCATTTAATATGAATTTATTTAGACTAATATCATCTTCATTATATGATATCTGGGGCTTCGTTTTTAATCTCTCACTTCTTCTACTCATTATTTCAATGTCATCAGTATTACTTGGATTTCCAATTTCATCTAAGTGTTCTGCTGTTTCATTTTCCCTACTCTCATTCGGGTTGTTTGATTCCTTACTATCATTCAGGAAACTATCTCGCTTTCTTTTCTTACTCTCATTCAGAAAATGTTCATCAATTTCCTTACTATCATTCGGGAATTGTGCGTTGTCGCATTCCTTACTTTCATTCGGGAATTTTACTTCATTAATTTCCTTACTATCATTCGGGAATTTTACTTCATCAATTTCCTTACTATCATTCGGGAAATTCGTATTATCACTTTCCTTACTATCTTTCAGGAATACTGTTTTAACTTTAACAGCTCTAGAATTAACCATATTGGTTTCATCGACAACCACATCTCTTGCAACGAGAAATTTTTCATTAACAGCATCCCACAATCTAAAACCATTTGGTTCGTAACCCACAAAAATAGCTTTGAATGATTTTTCATCAAATTTTCCTTTTTTGATTTTGTTGTGTACATATACAGTTGCACCAAACACTCTTAAATGTCTT